GTGTCATAATTGTTAGTAAAAGAAAGCAAAATGATGACTGTTTATTTCTTCTGTTTACATATGCACGTAGTGTTGGCGAAATAAACCTGCAGTTTGATAAGCAAGCAGAAAAGAGAGCACCAACGGGGTTTTAAATATTTACTCCTTATTCAAAAAGAACAAGAAAACCAAAAATTAAAATAGTTTATCAAAAATAAGAGTGATTTGTGGTGGATGGATAAGATAGAGCTACCCGTAGCTTCTTAAAAAATACTTTTTAAATAAGAACTCATTTCGAGTTTGAGGGTTTTGCTTGAAAGATTTGTTCAATTTGTAGGCCATGTGCATGTCAATAATTCTGATTTTTGATTGACACGTTGCCATTTGTGGTAAATCTTCAGTGTTCGGATGGGTACTGCTAATTAGCTTTTGATTATGTGGTTCTTTTCGATAGCGGTTTCAATGACGAACGCTGGTGAGAGAGCTTTTTTTTATATGACGGTTGATCAACTTTGAATTATTTTGTTATTGTCTGGATCTTTTTCTGTTTGTTTCTACTTCTCTGGTTTTTTACGCATATTGACTGTTCGATTCAATGAATAGATTCACTTTTTTCTTTTTCAATTCAAATCAATGGTATTCGACAGAATAGTTCTAGTTGCTATAATGCACCAAGAAAAGTCGCTGTTAACAATTTTTTGCAACACTTTATTCAGAACCTCTCATGAGATCTAAGTTAAGATGTTGAAATGATTTAACAACTCCCATAAGTCATACAACACACATGACGGTTGCTCATAACGATTGCTTGTTTTAATGATACAGTTTATACCATGCGATATTTCATAGAATCAAACTCGATATATAATGCACTAGAAACTTTTCTTAAGTGAGAATGTAGTTCCATCATTATATTTTCCCTTCTTGTATTGAAAGACACAAAAAACCTGGAGCAATTTGATTAATAATTAAACATATTTCAGTCAAATTATTGTAGAAATATCATTGATAAAGTTTTGACTGAATTCGGTTATTTTGTCGTATGATGACATACTGTTGACATTTGATTAACATGAAAATCAAAACCTCAACAAATATTGTCAAACCGCCATATAGTTCAAGGAGATCTGTAAGTATTTCAATGGTAGAAGAATATCCCAGATACGAATAACTGCAATAATCAGGTGCACATTTATCATGATAATTCTCATAGAAAACATAAGTTGACCATTTTCTTCGATCATAAATCCGCTGAGAATAAACTCAACTGTCAAATTCATTTCATAGTGATTTGAAATAGATGCATTCATTGATGTAAATAATTCGTCTAATATTTGAAGTTGAGAAATACATGTTGCATCGTACAAGCACTAGAAAGTTGATTTTGATAGAGATTCTCATAGACAACATGCGATTATTCGTCCAAGAATCTTTTTGTTTTAAATAAATCAAAACATTATCTAATTGAATTCTTTCACTTCTTCATCTGCCTTCGTAGAGAGCAGTCGCATTTTTGCTCGTCCGCGTACATACTCTTCTTTCTTTGTATCCTGCGAATACCTCCCGTATTGCGCGGAGGAGTGACTTTATGTCCTCAATCAATTTTCAATTAGCCGAAATGAATAGATCGAACAATTACGTTCGTACAGCTCAAGTAACAACAAATGAAATAGGTATGAATGATCAACACCAGATGGATGGCCGACATCAGCAATTTTATTCTCAACCAGCAGTGTATGTAGATGACAACGATATGGAACAACGAGAAGGTCTTCTTCATTCATTAGAACAAAATCCGCACATGCTGCGGGATTTCTATCAATTTATCGAATTTACACGAGCTCGTAGTGCTCAACCATCTGTTCAGCAGATGTGCTATGGGCAAAGTATACTAGATCAACAGCCGATTCCTTCTATTTTAAATGTTAAGACAAATATTCAGCATAATTCATCAACTCCGAAACGTGGTCGACCTCTTAACGACAGTGGAGGTTCCATCAGTTCTGCACCGAAACAACATAAATCAAGCAAAGGTACCCGCATGCAAATGGAAGATACGGCAGTAATTAATCAACAACAACGAAAATCGCTTCCATTCGATCAGCTAAAACGAGCCGTGTCCTCTAATCTACCGTGCTTCTTCATCGAATTCGAACAATCTATTACTTCACAGCGGCCTCCATCGGCATTTGAAGCCAGAAATGTTATTGAAAAGCATTTCAAAGAACAAAAAGTAAACATTGAACACTTCTCATTAGTAGGTTGGTCAAGTAATCGTCTGAAGTTGGGAGTGAATAACAAAGACGATTACATGGTGTTATTAGCAACAAACAAATGGCCAACGCATGTTAATAATATACCAATTAGAATTACCAAACCGAAATATATTCCGGACTGCTTCGCTCTAGTAGTTCGGTACGTACCAAGTGACATGGAACCGGAACTAGTAAAAGAAGAAATTAAACGTACAATTGCATCAGCTGATAATATAAAACAAATACACTATTCATACGAACGAAAATCCAACGATTTCAAATTCACTATAATGGACTTAAATGAATATAATACAGCTCTTGAACTTGGACGCATCTCGATTTGTAATCGTTGGCTTACAATCACTCCCTTTCTAACGGGATACCGTATGACATTTTGCTCTA